CTCATTTAGAAATATAATGTATAATTTAGCACAGATTATAGATAGTTACCTATGATAGTCAAAACTTAAGAGTTAAGTTAGTTAGATTTTCAAGATGTATTTAAGATGTATTTGAGAAGGATAGGCATTCTTCAAACCTTTCAAAGACCTATAGAATATGGCATTTACAATGGTTTAGGGGTTTTCTTGACAGTGATACATAACTGCTTCTGGTAACACCACCTGCGCCAGAAAGGAAGATGGACATCGAAGAAACGCGTTATGAAGTTTACTTCCAATATGGCAAGACTAGCCATTAAGGCAAGATACTGCTCTTGTCTGGACTGTTTGACTTTATGCTGTATAAACTGGACATGCAGGACCCACAGAAAAGTGACTGCTGATTCAAGATGGACATTGCTACAGAGTTCCTGCTTCATGAAGAGTCTGCCAGACAGTCTGTAGGACACAGAGAAAAGTGACTGACAAACTGCCAATACAAGAAGACAGTTTAAAATCTCCTGCTTTGCTGAAGAGTCTGCCAGACACAGTATGGCCTTTAGGCTGAAGATGGAAGATTACAGAAGAAGTTCAGGTGTCTGACCAGGCAGTGAGTTGTCTCTGTCATTTCTAGAGTTTATATATTATCCTTCTGTGGTCTTTGATGGAATTGAAGACAGATAGTTATGGTTATAGTTTTCCTTAGTTAAGATTAAAGATAAGGTACATATAGGACTCTAGACTCACAAAGATAGGATAGATGATGGAATATTTTCTTTACATCTTGCTAAATGTTAATGGACTAAATGTTGTTAACTCTGGTTCTTATTTGATAACTGTTTTGTTATATAGTTTGCTATGTTAAGATTAAAACCATTCTTTTTATTTTAGACAGAAAAGTGGAGATGATGGGAAATGTCATTCTGTACATATGTTTCTCCTATTGGTTGATGAGTAAAGCACTGTTGGCCAATAGGAAAGCAAGATAGGTGGGACTAGGAGACAAGGAGGAAAGAGGAAGTAGTAGGGAGGAGATTCAAGATGGAGGACCAACGGGGTAGAACTCCACTCTCTGTTAAGATAAGACCACGTGGCGATAATTATATTGATAGAATTGGGTTAATATTTAAGGCAGAGCTAACCAATAAGTAATGCTAGTAACAAGCCAACAACATAATATCTAATAAAATGCCTCTGTGTGTTATTTGGGGCTGGCAAGGCTCTGGGTCCAGGCCAGATGGAACACATGCTCTTAACACATGCTCAATGCTAGAATCTGCTTCTGTAAAACCAAATCATTATAAAATGAATTACTCTTAATAAAACTCACTTTCAAAGTAAAATGCCTACCCTTTACCTATGAACAAGACAATTTAAAAAATGCTTGCTGGCAAGTGATAATAAAATATATTCTACGCTGTCAGAGAGGATAGGGCCCCCAAAGACAGCTGTGCAGCATGCCTACTATATGGCCTTATGACTACTGAACACTCATTTAGAAGGAAGGATACTTTCATAACCAATGTATCTTATAAATTCGACTTTAGGCAGGAATGAGTGTGATCTTTATATGCAGACAGTTAAATTCTCGAAGAGATTTTAACAAGATGTAGAAAATAATATTTTAATCAATTAAAAAGCACAACACTTTTTTTAATGGAACCCACGGTCTTTTGAACCCTAGGATATATCACTGTGTTACATTTCTAGTTCAAAACCCCACTGGGTTTTAATTTAAGAACTTCCTATTCTAATTGTGTGAGTGCCCATGTACTTTAATAATCGCTGATACCATTGAGTGCCTAAATGTATAGGGCATTCAGAACAATTAAACACAAAGAAGAAAGATAGAAGTAATTTAAAGAGGTGCTCACAATAACATTTTTCTCAGTTAAATGTTCTGAAGCATTTCATTATTGTGAATCCCTTCTCCATGCCTGGAAAAGGCAGAATTTTTCATTGACTTCAATTATGGTTTAAGTCTGTCTGAGTCAAGGCATTTAACATGTCAATCATAAACCAAGTGGGAAATGTAAGTCCTTTCAATGCCATCTCCATGACAAGATGGGAACCATCTATTTTGAAACAATAAAAGGGACATTATTTTTATGGGTAATGAAGTATTTGTCCCTGTCCCTTGTATCTAGCCAGGAAACGAATGAAAGCAAGGACTTCCTTGCAAGGCCGGTCAGTGTGTTGCCTGCACTCGGAGGGCTCAGCAAGGCAGGAGAAAATAGATAGAAAAGGCATCAGCTCCGAGTCATGCTGGGCAGTGTAAGACTCTTGGGTTCCAGGAGGCATTTATGTGTCCTTTGACCTGCAACAGACCTCTCTGGATAAAGATTGTTTGCCTGTGTTTCCTGGCTCAAAGGTTAGTCACAGAAATGCAAAATGAGTGCTTGAGTCCTTTTGCTCTCAACACACTGGAAATTCAGAAGCTTAGTAAAATATGGCGGCCAATAGAACTAGGCAATAAAACTACTTAAACTAAATAATTTATTTATTTAACATTGTTTATGCAGTTTTATTAATGAGTAAGTTCCTTTTCTTGGGGTTAATCACTTGTGTTGAAATACACATTTATTCACCCTTTCACCCTACAACAACAGTAGTGTGTGTGTGAGAGAGAGAGAGAAAAAAAAAAAAAAAACAGTTCCAAAATTCACCTTTCATTCCCCTCATCTTTTGTCAGTAATGGATTTAGTTGTGATACCCAGATATCACTTTTTGGTTTGGTTTGGGGCTTTTTTTTTTTTTTTTTTTTTTTCAAACGAAACTTCTTTATTGACCAAAACTTCTTGCCCCCAAATTAGGCATCTTCATGGAGTCAAGGGTCCACTCCTCAGCATCTCTGACCTATGGATCTTGATCAGCATAAATGTCCCCTCATACCCTAACTTTCACCACCACCCCCCATCTCTCCATGGAGAGATCGTTGAGACATGGGACTTGCTTTGCAACTTGGCCTGCTAACCCTCCTAGCCTATGTCAAGCCTTTGATAGACCTTTTAGAAGTCACAAGCCATGAGCCCTTGTCTGAAGTCCTCTCCATACCCTTGCTTCCCCGGTTGAACCTGAATCTTAAGTCTGAGAGAGTGTGTGCCATGGCACAAATAATTAATGCATTTTAATTAGTACATAATGATATCACTCTACCCTTTCTTCTCCCATCTCTTCTCAAATACCAACTCCTGAAAGCCTCCTTTCCTTTGATGATTATTGCTTTTGTGATATCACACTTCTTATAAAGAAGAGTTTCAGATATGTTACCAAAACTATCTAAATGTGCTCCAACCTAAAAGTCATTACTATGATAATAATTTATTAGATTCTATTTCTAGTTCTTAATTTTGCATTGCTTTATGGGACATTTGCGTCTCAAAATCATCCTTAAATTAAGTTGGAACAAACTACATGTGTGCATTTGTCTCCAAAATATGAAATATCTCTTTCTTGTAAAATATCCCGTGATTTTTTTTTGTTTTTTCTGATGTCACCCAATGGTTCACTGACTCAGTTCAGGTCTGTGTTTACAATCAGCTCTTAAGTAAACGTCATTTAAAGGCTTAGTAAGATTCATAAAAAGAAAAAAAAAAAAAAAAACAATGTAGCTTCTCTTCGAACTTAAGTTTCTGATTCACTCACCAAAAATGCACACTACCCTACCAAGATGGGATAAACTGGACGTCTCTGGCTGAAGCTTCAAGACACCATGTGCAGGAGTCTACAGGAAGGAACCCTTCCCACAGGAACATGGCTGTGCATGTCTCCCTACTGGTTCTGGACAACCCCAGAGTGACTGCGAGTTTGACATCTTCGAGGAGGACCTTGGTAGCCTTTTCTGCTCTGCAGCGCTTACAAACAAACAACCCTAGCGGCCGCTTCCAAAGCCGCACTCGCGCAGCTGACTGTGGAAGGAGTCCCTGCGTCTTCGCTCTAACCTGCTGTCCCTGCGTCTGTCTTTCCGCCCAGACCCCAGAGGGGACATTAAAAACGGCCGAACTGCAAGGAGCAATCTCTTTTGTCCACCAGCCAAGCGGGCTTCCCGGGGGCTTCCCAAGGCCCTGCAGTGTCTGACCCCGCCCCGCCCTGAAGGGCAGGGGACAAGGGGGACAGAGCTGCGCTGGTTGTCACCCGGAGGGGGAGTGGTGGTGGCGGGCGGAGCGCCAGGCTGCTGGCCGGGTGGGAGGGGTGGTGCAGCCTGGTGTCAGCGGGTGCCCTTTGCAGACAGCACCGGGCTAACCTGGGCTCGGGCGGGGCTAACCTGGGCTGGGGCGGGGACTGGACGCTCACACCCGTGAGCTTGCACCGGGCTAACCTGGGCTGGGGCGGGGACTGGATGCTCACATCCGTGAGCTTGCACCGGGCTAACCTGGGCTCGCGAGGGGCTAACCTGGGCTGGGGCGGGGACTGGACGCTCACACCCGTGTGCTTGCACCGGGGTAACCTGGGCTCGCGAGGGGCTAACCTGGGCTTGCACCGGGCTAACCTGGGCTGGGGCGGGGACTGAATGGTCACACCCGTGAGCTTGCACCGGGCTAACCTGGGCTGGGGCGGGGACTGGACGCTCACACCCGTGAGCTTGCACCGGGCTAACCTGGGCTGGGGCGGGGACTGGACGCTCACACCCGTGAGCTTGCACCGGGCTAACCTGGGCTGGGGCGGGGACTGGACGCTCACACCCGTGTGCTTGCACCGGGCTAACCTGGGCTCGCGCGGGGCGGGCGGGCGGGGACTGGACGCTCACACCCGTGTGCTTGCACCGGGCTAACTTGGGCTTGCACCGGGCTAACCTGGGCTCGCGCGGGGCGGGCGGGCGGGGACTGGACGCTCACACCCGTGTGCTGACAGGTGGCTGGGGCGGGCGGGCGGGGACTGGACGCTCACGCCCGTGTGCTGACAGGTGGCTGGGGCGGGCGAGCCCCGAGGAGCCCGCCGGGAGCCGCGGGCGGTGACAACGTGGCGCCACGCGCGGGCGCGGGGCGGCGCGGGGAGGTCGTACCTGGCAGGCACGCACGTACCTATCATGGTCACCGGGCGGGCGGCGGCTGCGGGGCGAGCACGGCCTACGCGGGCCCCGGCACCCGCCCGAGCCTCCCGCCAGCGTCTCTCTCCCTCAGCTTTAGTCAGCCATGCAGGGCTCCCCGCCCCGCCCCGCCCCGCGCGCCCGGCCGGCAGGCTCACCGCGCGTGCGCGACCGCGCCCCCAGCGCGGTGCCTGCTGGGAGTCGTAGTTTTAACGCGTAAGACTCTTCCTCTCTTCCCTCCCCCTCCCCCGAGGCGGCTGCCTCCTCCAGCCGTTCGCCCTTTCCGGATTTAGACCCAGGAAACGTGCGTCACGAAGGGGCGGGACTGTCGGGCCGAAGTGTTGACGAGTCGCTTAGCAACCAGAAGGCTCACCTTTGGAAGCTTGTAGCGGCTCAAGCCTCGGGTCCCAGCCCTCTTCCCGCCCCTCCCCTCCCCTAAACTCCCTTCACCTCGGAGCTGCCAAACATCTGGATTGCCCTGGGCACCACGAGGGGTTGCATTTCTACCAGTAACTCGCCTTTTGACATTTTCCCCCGACCCCCTGCTCACTCACATCAGTAAAGCCCACTGGTCTGTCTACCACACTTTTTTGATAAGAACAGAAAAAAACGTGTCCTAGGAAGATGGTGGCAGAAAAAGAGACCCTGACCTTAAACAAATGCCCAGACAAGATGCCGAAGAGGACCAAACTGCTGCCACAACAGCCGCTCCCGGTGCACCAGCCTCATTCCCTGGTTTCCGAGGGCTTCACAGTCAAAGCCATGATGAAAAACTCAGTCGTAAGTGATCTTCCTCAATTGAACGCACTTGCGGGGGACACGAGGTTGTAGAGAGAGGATGGCGAGGCCCCAGGGTGGGTCCCGAGCCCAGGTCCTGGGTTCTGTTTGCCAGGACTGGAAAAGTCTCACAGTAGCCCACTGTGCCCACCAGTGTGCAGGGAGGTAGACCAGATGCTTAGAAAGCTTTGGGGACAGGTAATGTCCACAGCTAGTCTACAAGGGCTTACATGGGGAGGCATGTTTTCACCCTCACCTGCTACCCCAAATTACACTTGAGCTTTTCAACTCGAAGGAGGGAAAAAACAACAACTCTTACCCTTTTTGCAACTTAAACTGGTTCCACTCAGCAAAGGGCCTTCTAGGGTGAGAATTCTTAGAAGTCACGGGCTTGCAAAATTTTAACACGAGGCAGTATACAGCTGAGACACATAAGCTCATCAATAATCTAAAGTCATTTAGTTCACCTGGAACATTTTGGAATGTCTTAGAGCTCAACAACACCTGACTAAAGTGTATTAGTCTGTTACAGTGTTCAAAAGCTACTTTTATGCAAACTGGTTCCTAATAGGCCTTTTAAATACATTTTAAAATAATATAAGCTGTGTTTCAAGTGTCCCTACTAATACAAGTCCTATTTCGTTTTTATTACTTGGGTTATAAAAATAAAATATTCCTAACACCGATGGGGGAAAATATTTAAAGGCACACAAATGGTCGAGGTATATGCATAACACTGCTTTTAATCCTTCTTATTTGTTAAATAGCCTCTAATTTGGTATGCTAAACAGAGTCTGTCTCGTAAGTAGGCACTGTTCAGGAATGCGATTTAGTATTTTCAAATTTGTACAATTTACAACTTGAGAGGATCTTATTATTCAACGTATTACCTTAATAGTGTTCTCCATTGTCCCATAATTTTTTTTTTTTACTTATTTATTGCAAGCCTAATACTACCTTATTTCTAAATACATACTTAGAGGACACAAATAAAGCAGATTGCCTGTACACTTCCAGCTCAGATTCCTATGTGGTTAAACAAAATCATTTTTATTTTGTGTGTGTGTTGGTTGATTTACAGTAGTTCAAATTCTTTGAAACAGTCTAAAAAAATAACTGTCGAGTCACAGGAAACAGGAAAGGTTGTTTCTATATTTGATACTTTCATTTCACCTCTTTTGAGTACGGTGATGTAGATTTTTGTCACATTATAAAGTTAAAGTATATGCCTTGCTCTGAAGGTCTACTTCTATTCAGACATCTATTCAGCCAACTTCCATCTTTTAATTTCAGCCACATGTTCCAAAAGCCAACCCATCTTCTCAGGAGGCTGCTCTCCCCTCCTCCATTCCTTCTGCAACACTCTAGATTAGTTGGTAATGTCATTTCCATTTTCTTCCAAGGAAAACACACAGAATTTACCCTAAATATTTACAAAATGATGGCTGTAAATATTTATTATTTGTAAAAATAATTTCTTAAAAATACCAATAATAAGTGGTCTTAAGCAATATGTGAGGATTTTTTGTTTGTTTGTTTTGTGTGTGTGTGTGTGTGTGTGTGTGTTTTTTTTTTTTTTTTGGTTACTTGAACTTCTGCCCCAATAAAAATAAGCAATTTCAAATGTCTTCAATCAAACAATAATATCCAAATTCGTATTGATACAATGTTTCCAAAGGTTGAAAGAAGATAAAAGATTTGAATATTTGGAGTTTATTTTCCTTCTTAAGAGTAGGATGATGGAGCCCATGACCAAAAACTCCTTAGCCAGTATTATTTCCTTATGTAAGCTGAAAATGAACCCTTTCTGCACTTACCTTATCAAAAAGCAAGTTAGGTCAGGCATAGGGAAGCCTCATGCTCAGGAGGCAGAGGAAAGAGGATCAACCCTTGAGGGCAGCCTAGGCTACAGAGTAAGTTAAAATAAAGTCTGCAGCACATATGGAGACCCTGTGTCAAACACATACACACTGCAAGTTAGGATATATATATATATATATCTCCAAGGCTGTGATGATGTTATTTGTAGGCTCTGATTCCAGGCCCATCGGAAAATAGGCTAAGAATAAGCTATCAAATTCCAAAAGGATACAATCTTCTATTATTGTAGTAGAAGGAACATGGGATTATAGAAGTCATAGCCTGCCAGAGCTAAAGATAGTAAAAACACAATGATTAAGTCACAGTAGCTCGGATTACAGATGCCCATCCCATCCAGTGGATGATGAAATCAGGGAGCAATTAGCTGATGGGAGCCTCATCACCCACACGCCTCCCAGGTACATCAAACTGCTCTCCACATGCAGATTAAACTTTCCAGATAAAGTTCTTCTGATGACTCGATGTTAAAGGTTTGGGGCCTACCCGGTTCCAAAACAATAATTAAAAAAAAAAAAATACTTCCTCAGATCCAGCAGTCATTTCCTTTAAAAAAAATTATCCTTGGACACTTTCATACATGTATGCAATGTATCTTGATCATAATCACCCTAGATCCTCCCTCCCCTTTCTCCCTGAATCCCTAATGCTTGCCCCTCCCATTCATGTCTTCCTCTTTTGTTTTTCATAACCCCCTGAGTCCAGTTAGTGCTGCCCGCAGGTCTGTGTGTGGCTGGTACCCAAGCATTGCCAATTTACCAGCTGCCGCATACCTGAAAGAAAGATGTCCCCTCCCAGCTTCCATCGGCCAGGCCATCAGTTGTCTTCAGCTAGCAGTGGAGGGGGGTGCTTAAGAGCCCCTTTCCCATCCATATTGGAATGTTAAGTGGCCTGATCTTGATTAGGTCACACAGGGTGAAGTAAGTGCAGTGGCCATGTCATGTTCAGAAGACACTTCTCCACATCCTCCGGCTCATACATCCTTCCTGAGCCCTTTCCTCAATGTCCCCTGAGCTCTGCTGGGAGTCTGAAGGGATTGCTATGAATGTTCCATTCTCAGCACCAATTATGGCTCTCTGCATTGTCTAGCACAGCAGTCTTCTATAATCCTATTCTGTATTTTTAAAATGTATAACCCCCTCCTACTCTCATTTTAGCTAACTGAAACCCAAGAAACTGATTCCTTACGTTTTTGACTAATGCTGTCCTTTACTGAATGTCCATCTCTCTTTATAACCTGCGTATGTAACATCATTCTGTCGCCAGATAACAAGCATCTACTAATCAGTGGATGTGTGCTTTTCCAGTATTCCTACGTGCCAGGGATGGAACAGTCAGTAAAAGAAGACACACTGAGAAGTAGCTTACACTTTTATGTCTAGCACTCTGCCTGCTGCTTGAAGACTCCTAATTGTGCCCGTCACCAAAGAAATAAGTGATCTCTCCCCCACTGATCTCTTCATTGCATTATACTTACTCCTGCTCCTGTTTTAACCCCTTGTACAAACTTCACATGAATACAGAATCTACTTCTAATTCATCGTCAAATTTTACCCAGAAGCAAATAAGTATTTGATGAAGGAAAGTGACTCTAAGCTTTCTTCCCTTCTCATCATTAAAATGGACTTTTTTGTCTCTACTTACAAATATTTTTAAGATTCACACAATTTAGGAGCTCAAAGGGTCACTTTAAAACAAAAAAGCACGGCGGTGGTTCACACCTTTAATGCCAGCACTCAGGAGGTAAAGGCAGGTAGACCTCTGTGAGTCTGAGGCCAGCCTGGTTTACAGAGTGAGTTCTAGGACAGCTGAGGCCACACAGAGAAGCCTTGTTTCAAAAGAAACCAAAACCAAACAAAAAAGCAGCTGAACTACGGTGGGCCTTACCTCACATCCTCAGGCCTTGGCTGCACTAAGAATGAAAGTAAAATTTCTTGCCTCCTGTGAGGCCCTTTCAGAGCTAGCCATTGTTGCTTTTCATACATCTATTCACATATGTGCACACGTGCATGTGTATTTACACACACGGCAACACCATCCTCGTGTCCTGCTTTACTTCCCAGCGCCACCATCATGGTTTTCTTACTGGTCCTGATACACTGGTGGCATGCCTGCCTTGATGGCTGTGACCTTCTAGTCCCTTCCACCTGCAATGTACAGGCCACCTTCTTCTGCTGCTGCCTTTATACTTTTTGCTCAGTTTACTTCGTAGTTAGCTATTCTCTGACCAGTTAAAATCCCCTGCCTCTAACTGCTGTCTGCCTTCCCTCTCATGCCTGTGAGAGCCGTGTAGCTGAATTACGGCTTTTTCCATCAGAGGCTCCCCCTTAGAGGCTTGAGGGCTTTATTGTTTCTCCAGCCCCATACTATGGGCTAATTTGCTGCTTATCTACTTGATCATCTCCAAGTTAGAATTCTC